TGCTGTTTGTGTACTCATTCATTACTAAAACTTTGGAGAAATTTTCTTTCCCCAGTAATGATGGGCTTGGGGTATTTGTGGAAAATATCCACCTTGCATCTTACATCTGAAATAAGGAATGATACAAGTTTTTTTCTTACAGAAGATGAAGCACATAGGAGCCTTACTGGGCCAACTGGGATGAGATGACTATTCAGTGGCTAACTTGAATTAGGGAGAAAATTAGGTATTTTTTCCAAATGTTCACTGGTACTGTACTACCTTATTTCTCATCTGTTCCACAAAGAACTACCAAGAAAGGAAGTCAGTTTGCCTGGTAACTAGTTCCTGATTATTACTGGTTTGGTTCTGGACTAAAACTAGGTTGACAGAATTGAATTTGCCTAATATAATGACTGTTTTAAATATGGAACTGTTTATGTTCTATTCAGTACAAGGAAATAAAGCTTTAGTTGAGGATTCAGCACTAAAATTCTTGAAATTCTCATTTCATAAGACAAGCTTAATGCAAATAATGATGTGGCAATACTTTGGGTCAAAGTTGTTTGGTGGATGTCAAGTAGTTTGGTGGCTGAAAAGTATGTTTTAAAGAAGCTGTTATAGCCAATCCTCAGGAACATAAGACGTTTCCATAAAGGAGGAAGAAAAATAGAAGCCATATCTACAAGGTATATGGTTCAGAGAAGGACAAGTGTGGCCACTGCCTCAGCATATTTTAAGTTGTTTTGATTTTTACAAATACAAGTTTTTGAATTGTTTAGAAATAATATTGGTAATATCACACTTGCAAAAAATTTAATAGTGAATAAAACATACGAAATTTCCTAAAATGGCAGCAGAACTATGAAATCTGCTAGAAACAAATATTAAACCAAATATTACTGGTTGTGCTTGTATGAATCTTTTGTTACGATCTTTCAATGTAAGTTTCTGTTTTTTAGCTTCTAGTATGTTATATACTTATTGAATTACCAACATTTGAAAAAACCTGTATTTGGGTATATGATACAGTGCTAGAATCCTTGCTTAATTAACACATTAGGTGTGCATAATCTCTCCTGCTTCAGGAGTCTTAAAATTGAAGTAGACAAGGGAGAAGGAGTCCCAGTAGGACATTTCTGTAACTGCAGAGTTGTCTTCAGAAGAGTATCAGTCACAGAAAACTTGGTCTCTATAGTAGTTTATTGTATGCTGCTTTGTTTCCAAAAAAGAGAAGAGGCATATAAGATAGAAGGTAATTTAGGTGAAAAGGACAAAGAAAAACAAGGAAACACCAATATAGGACTCTTAAATCCTTGGTAAGGCTAGGCCACAAATTTGGCCCTGTAAATAGGTTTTGTTAAGTTAGTGTCTATAGGTTAAAAAGGAGTAATTCACATAAATTGTAAGTATCCTTCATAAAACTGGAAGTTTCTCAAGAATCTTAAAATGACACATTGAACAAATAGAGTTTATAAAGAGGAAAATGCAAACCCGTAAATGCCATGGTTCTTCAGAATACTAGCACAATAGCCAATAAAATACAGAACTTCACTATTAACAGCTCCACACCTAACTGGGGATTGAATAAGCATAAGAAGCAAAGCTCAGGCATGCTGGTTATGTATAGGGTTGGTTGGGGTCTTTTGGAAACAGTTGAATCTAAAAGACGCATATGTCTGATTAGAGGCTACACATTTGCTCAGTGAGCAAGGAGGTAACATCATTTGAGCTTGGGAAAAAAGCACACTCAGAAACAACCTAAGTTGAAGCAATGAAACTCCTGAGGTGAAATGTCTAGCAAAGTAATAAGAGTTGTTAAATTTGTTAAAACGATCCAATTTAAAAATATGTAAGATGTTTCAACACAGAAGTGGATTAGATAAGAGTGTGGAAAGCTGCTACCATAAATCATTAGGAAAGTGTAAATTAAGGCAAAAATGATATCATGTATTAAAACAATATACTCAATTTTGGTTAGGATGCAGCTGGAACTCGTAAGTTGCTGGAAGAACTGCAACATTGTATAGGTACTTAGAAAAGTCTGGTCGCTTTCTAACACCCTGTGACAGCAATGCCATTCGTAGGTGTTTACCAAGGGAAATGTAAAACATTCACATAAACCGGTGTGTGAATATAGTTGCTTAATTCTTTTTAAACTGAACAAGGTCTCACTATGTTGCCCAGCCTAGTCTTGAACTCCTGGGCTCAAGTAATCCTCTCATCTCAGCCTCCCAAAGTGTTGGGATTATAGGTGTGAGCCACTGCACCTGGCCAGCAGTTTTATTCATAATCACATGAAATGGAAATCAGTGAAGTAGTTTTCCAACTAATGAATGGGTAAGTGGATAATAAGCATCATGCTAAGTGAAAAGCCATACTCAAAATCTCCATTTAGCCTGGCACAGTGGTGCACATATGTAGTTCTAGCTACCTGGGAGGCTAAGACAGGGAGTTTGAGACTGCAGTGCACTATGATGGCATCTGTGAATTGCCACTGCACTCGGCTTGAGCGACAGAAAGACTCTGACTCTTGAAAACAAAAAGGTCTCCATTTATATAGCATTTGGGAAAAGGAGAAACTACAGAGATAGTAAACACATAAAATTTATATCTCGATTGTGCTGGTGATTACATGATTGTGTTTGCCAAAACTCACAGAACTCTATACGAAGGAAAAATGTTTTATCTTTGTAGCTTCACAAAGTGGAACCAAACCTTTAAAAGAGCAGTCTTAAAAGGAGGGCTAAGGCATGTCCATATTTTACCTCACTAGAAATCACATCAGGAAACCATTTCCACTGAGCTCGCAGGGGTCTGTATCAAGTTAGTTAGTTTAGCTCAAAACCATTAATCTGCAATAGAGTTGCAAAGACAGACAAAATTAGAACTCAAAGAATAGGATGTTGAAGTTGGCTTGTAGTTTAGGAACACTGAACCAAGCTAAGATTTGGGTATCTACCATCTGGCCTTCTGGGTTTATAACTGGCAATTCTGCTCAATAATCATCCTTGATATTTTCAACATCCAGAACACCCACTTCACAAAACTAGATCAGAACTAAAAAGGATTATTATATGGGCTAAAAAACTTGTCTGTCAACTCTCAGGTTGACCAATGCTTGTTTTTAGCAACAGCCAAAGATATTAGAGAATAAACTCCATGAATATATAGAGATGGATTTTTTTAAAAATGCAAACATGTAATACTAAAACATCAAGAAAGCTAACAGTCTGAGGTACTCTGGCTCAAGAAGTACCTGTTTTTGTGGGACATATTCCAAGAGGATCTCAGAGATAGCTGTCTGCCTTTACTGAGGCTTTTTACCCAACAGACCCTACAAACTGAAGAGCTTTCAAGTCAAACTTGGGTAGGCAAAGAGTATGTCTTTATTTTTTTTTTTAAGTAGGTCAATTTGTCTAACTCGTATCTATAGATAGTGTATTCATAGAGCTTAATTATATTCACTGGTGAAGGTTTTATTGGCAAAATAGCCAAAGCCCCACCAAGTAGGAAGAAGACCCTGTCCAATCTCTAAATCAAAAAAGGGCCATTAGTAGCATGACATCTTGAGAGAGTAGATGATGTATCTGGTTATTCAATAGTGAGGTATATGTGTATTCCCTTTGAGGAAAGAGGTAAATGTATCCCAATCCGCCATGCTAGGGAACTAGGGAACTGCCAAAAGTCAGGCATATGAACAGTATGACCCAGGCTCTGAAAGTTGACCAAGACACCATCTAAATAATGCGGACCCCGAAAGGACTTCTGTACTCCCTTAAGATGTTCAAAACACCAGGGAAATAGAGCTTCAGATCTGTTCTTGTGTTGCCATCTGGTCTTTCAGGTGTCAAAGACACCTGAAAGTGGAATTAACACATCTGTGCAGTCACAATTGCCCACTGCAACTGTGGGCAAATCCTCATAAGGGAAGCCACCTGGGGCACAGCAGACCTCAATTCTTTAGGCAGCTTCTCCTTGGCCCAAAACGTGGAGAGAGATGGGGCCCCTCCAGATCAAAGGATGCTCCCTGTCCTCCTCGAGGAAATGAACTGCTGTAAAAATGAATTGGAAAGGGCTAATGTAAGGGAACCCTCAACCCCTGCATTTTATGAGTAAGAAAATACATATCAAACTAATAAAACTTCAGAAAAGAAGGCAACAAAGAAGGGGGGGCTGATATTTCAAACGAAAGGCTAGCAAAAATGTTAAAACAATATTTAAATCAAAACAAAAATTTTACTTATTTATTTTTGAGTTAGGGTCTCACTCTGTTGCCTGGAGTTCAGTAGCACACTCATAGCAATAGCAGCCTCGACCTTCCTTCTCAGGCTTCCAAGTAGCTAGAACTACAGGCACACACCACCACGCCTGGCTAATTTTTTGATTTATTGTAGAGACGAGGTCTTGCCAAGTTGCCCGAGCTGGTCTCAAACCCCTGGGCTCAGGCATTCCTCTCACCTCAGCCTCTCAAAGTGCTGGGATTATGGGTGTGAGCCACTGCATCTGGCCTAAAACACATTTAAATAAAGTTTGAAATATGCATAAGAGTGAATGACATATGTGAAAGTATGTAGGTGATGGGAATAAAAGAAGTATGAAAAGCATAACATATATTAAAAGGTAACAAAAAGGAGATGGATGTGACAAACCAGAGCAGAGCAAAACAAAAACCCAATGATAACAACTAGATGTTGAGGGATAAAAGATCTGAAAACAGTTATTTTGGTGGTGGGTGGGGTGGGGTGGGGTGGGGTGGGGTGGGGTGGTAGATAAATGTATTTTTGACTCAGGGAGGGAAAGAAAAGAGGCAGACAGCTGAGACTTAAAGCTCCTCCATTTGCCCAGATACTCCTTTCCCTCATGTTACTTTGAGCCCTATCCACGCAGTTGGTGGTGTGGTTTCCGAATCTGGCAAGCCTAAAGCTTAACAGGCCCTGCACCAACTAGTGGACATCCTGAATAAGTTATCTTTTATTGAAAAGGGTCGCTTGTATAATTGTACACATTTCAGAACACAATTTGGTAGTAAAATGAAAAGTAAAATCTTAGCAAAAATAAGTTATTTATTGCTTTAAAAAATTAACATTTATAATAGAATACCAAATTGGAATTAATCTAATGTATTGACAAAAGCATAATATACTCCAGTAAACAAGGATTTCCAACTCATTGAATAACTAAATAAGTCAATAGAACACTTCGTTTTAGCTAAGGGCAAATATCAGCCACTGCCACCTAATTCTATTAAATCCATAGGGCTTCACATTTAAGGGGAAACTCAACATAGGGGTCACCTTGCTCCTCCTCATTAAAAATGCACTGAAAAGTGACAAGCCCAGAGATAAGAAGAGGCTGTATAGAAAGCAAGCATCAAAGTCAAAATCCTACTTTCACTACCTTGAGGGAGGTGACGGGCTGGGTGTTTTCTCACCAGGTCTACATAGATAGTTTGATCATAAAACTAGCCCGTGAAAGATTTTACTGTGGAATGTGGTGAGCATGGTCATTATTTCTTAGGGTTTGGCAGTGTCTCTAGTCAAATGCCCATATTTAAGGTTGAGAAAGAATGGTAATGCTGTGCCCAGAGCTTCCTGAGATGCCACAGTGACTCCTGACCTAGGATGACTAAAAATATGTCTCTCCTTTCCTTAGAGTTACTGGAACTGTATCAGGAGAAGAGGTAGGGAGTTACTGTCCACTCCAGAAGAGACGAGTCCACAGTTTATCCCACAATGGATACATTAGGCTTTTTAGAGTCAGTAATAAGCAATCACCTTTTTGCACCAGTGAAACACTTTTAAAAATTACCTTGGGTTTGGTTCAAAAAGTGACCAGACTGAAATCTACTCTGCTATTCTTAAATGCAATTCCTTTTAAGTCACAAGTCAATACTTATGTCCTATAGTTGAGTATGTCTTCACACCATCCCCTGTTTTGGGCCTCCGTGTAGACAGATGCATTGCACTGCTGCATGGTATATTCCATCTCAACCAGCTGGCGGCATCCGATGGTTAACTTTTCCCTGTGAGAAAAATTAATGTTAAATCACTGCAAGGCAGCTGGTCAGATAATACAAATTGTATTTCCTTTTTTTTATATTTTAGAAAAAAATTGTGTATATGAAGCACGACAATTAAATTCATGAACTCACCCTAAAAAAGTGCTACTACATACCTCATTGCTGAATATCAATCACTACAGTCACTTTCAAAGTCCTCCCCTTGGGAAGCTATGCACCGATGCCAGTGCCTAGTCCACCCATCAAAGCAATTTTGGAACTCTTTCTGGAATGGCCTTCAGAGCTGTCATTGTATTATCCTTGATGTCCTGAATGTCATAAAAATGTCTTCCTTTCAATATTTCCTTTATCTTCAAGTAAAGAGAAAAGTCACTGGGGGCCAGATCAGATGAGTAGGGAGGGTATTCCAATACAGTTATTTGTTTGCTGGCTAAAAACTCCCTCACAGTGCTGTGTGAGCTGGTGCACTGTCATGATGCAAGAGCTCCTTTGGGACCATTTTGCACAAAGCTTTCTCATAAGATTTTCAGTTAAGATTTTCCTTTTTTCTCTATCAATGTTTATTTGGTCTGCTATACTTCTCACAGTGACCCGACGATTCTGACACACAATCTGATGAATTTTTGCAATGTTTACAACAATTTTGCATGTTACTGGTCATCCTGACCTCTGTCTTCATCAGTGATGCTCCCTCTCCCCTCAGAAAAATGTTTAGTCCATTTGTACACTGCTGTTTTCTTTATGGCATTATTGCCATAATTTGGACTAACATATCCTGATTTCACCTCCATTCTTGCCAAGTTTAACAAGAAATTTAATGTTTGTTCATTACTCTCATTCAAGCTCTGATATTCTTGCAATGACACACAAAAACGCAACAACAATAATGAATGCCACTCAGCAAGACATCACCACACATGAACACAGCTGTAAGATTCTGATATACCAAAGTTATAAAACCTTACCAAGTTGTTTGTACAGTGCTGCCAATGTAAGCTCACATTTGTGAACTTAATTATCAGACCTAGTCTTTATTATGTACAACATATTTTGAACTATATACATTATGTAATGGCTCAAGCAAGCTAATTAACAGATGCATTACCTCACGTACTTATTTTTTGTGAGAACACTTAAAATCTACTTTCTTGGTGATTTTCTGAATACAATGCATTGTCATTAGGTAAATTCACCATTGTACAATAGATTCTTTGACTCATGTCTCCTATCTAAAATTTTGTCCTTTTTTATTTTTATTTTTATAGTTTTGTGTCCTTTGACCAATATCTCCCTAAGCTCCCCAGTCCCCCAGCCCCTAGTGACCACCATTCTATTCTCTACTTAGATAAGTTCAATTTTTTTACATTCCACATATAAGTGAGACCACATGGGATTTGTCTTTCTGTGCCTGACTTATTTCACTTAACATGATGTCTTCTAGGTTCATCCATGCTGTCCCAAATACCAAGATTGCCATTTAAAAAAAAGAAAAGGCTGAATAGCATTCCATTGTGTATATGTACCACATTTCCTTTATCTATCTATTCATCCACTGAGGGACATTTGGGTTGATTCCATATCTTGGCTATTGTTGAATAGCGCAGCAATGAACATGGGGCATACTGAACATTGACACTGATTTCATTTCCTTTGGATATATTAAACATTTTAAATGGGGTAACACTGGGATTTGAAATATACTCTCTGATATTTGAGAGACAAAATACCAACAATTATGGTTTCTTAGTACAGAAAAAAACAATATGATAAGCACTTAGTTGCACAAATTTTTACACAGTCAACATGAAGGCGACCTTGGTGCAATTCTTGGAATTCAGGAATAAGAGTTCCTATGGCAGACCCACAACCAAGAAACAAAGCTGAATGCTTAAACACAGTCTTCTGCATATATGGTGGGCTGGATTGAATAATCTAGTTCCACTTTATTCCCTGAAGGACCACTCCCAACAGGAGATAGGCTTATGTTTGGATGTTCTAATCCAAGGGCAACCCACATAGGGAATAAGTGGCTTAGTTTTCTCATCCTTGGTTTGAAAATTAAAAAAAAAACAAAACAGGTGAGCCTGAGGATGCACCTTCTGAAAGGAAAAGATACTTGAGACAGGAAGTTGGCAGAGTTTCAACTCAAAACGGATTGCTGAGATAAGTTACTTAGCAGTTTACAAATAAGCATTAGTTAATAATCCTAAACCAAGAGTGGGGGAAGCAAGGAGTAATGCCTAATATACACTATGTCTTCTTCACAATTTTACCTAAGGCTGGGCTCTCGAAAGTTGACATGGGGTCTACAAATTCTGGGATCCCAAATTGTGGGATACGAATTCATTACTGTGGGGTCTGGAATTCAAGTTCATTGTATTTAGTGTCCAGAATTTAAACCTCATAGATATATATTTTAATCTACTGGGAGATGGTCTAAGTTCACAAAGAGAACCCAACATCTAGTACAGCATCTGGCATATTAGGTATTCAAGAAATGGCAGTCATTTTAATTATTACAGTTAGATTGTCACTACATCTTAGGCTTCTGAGATAATTCTGGGCCAACCCCACAGTGCTAGAGAGGACCACTAAGCTATCTACCTCTCCCACTGCCTCTTCACATGATGTATCCCTTGATGGAGGGTGCAAAGAAAGAAGTCAATTAGGGACAGGATGAAAAGGAGCAGTGACAACACCTAAGTAAATGCATAAGTAAATAATAATAAATAAATACACCACTTTGAACAACCTCACTTCCTGAGGACATGTGGTTTCTCTGAGACTGATTAAAACCTGACTTAAATGCTTTCCTATAAACTTAAAAATGAAACAAACAAAAAGAGCAGGCCCCTACTCCTATTCTTAGTTACTCCACGTGTGAAAAAAACATCCTTCAGTAATTAGACTTTTGAGTCTATTTCTGGATTTCTCCCCCAACTCCCCCATAGTGGGAAGAAGCTCTATCTTCTTTCATCCTCGTGTTTTTTGGTTTCCTTATTCATGTGAGTCAGTATTCTGATAATGGATTATCATTTACAGATTGTATTTCTTGTAGCAAGGTCTGTCATTGCTGACTGAGAAAAGTATTGGCCATTTTTCATAGTGTTAGTTTGGTCTGTACCTTTTATTCGATCATGATGATAGAAATTCTTGAGTTCCTTTGCCTCGTGTGGAATGACAGAATCTCAGCTGTAGGGGCACCTGAACACATCTGCCTGCCATTCTGCAGCACCTCCAGGGAGTCATATCTCACTGCTGCTTTCACCTCTTGGTGATGGAAGCAGCTTGTTATATTTTTTGATGCCTCCTAATTGCTAGATAGTTCTTCCTTCACTTTTGGCCTATAAAAACCATCTGTTGGACCTGAGTCTGCCTAAATCAGACCAATAGTATAAATACTTTATGTTCCTATTTATTTTTCTCCAAACTAATCTACTCCAACTCTTAATTCTTTCTGGAACAGAGGTCAAAACTGAAAGTTTCTTCTAGTTCTGCAATTCTATGTCGTTCATAAGACTTCTGTAAAACAGTATCTCTAAATTTTCCTATTGATGGTAGAAATTTGCTTTGCTATTTTCTATACATTTGCAATGTGTATCTTAAAAGAAAGAAAAATGAAAATACAATGAAATATATATAAAATACCAATATAGGGGCTGTGGCTGGGACTGGGGGGAAAAATATCAACATAAAATCAGTATATAATAGCTAATATCATATTCAATGGTGAAATACTAAAAGCTTTCCCCGTGAGATCAAGAACAAGACAAGGATGCCTGCTTTCTCTACTTCTATTTAACACTGTACTGGAACTTCTAGCTAGAGCAATTAGGCACAAAAATTAAGTAAAAGGAAGCCAGATTGGAAACAAGCAAAATAATCTTTATTTGTAGATCCTAAAGAATTCAAAATAGGCCAGGTGTGGTGGCTCATATCTATAATCCCAGCACTTTGGAAGGCTGAGGCAGGAGAATCACTTGACGCTAGGGCTTCAAGACCAGCCTGGGCAACATAGCAAGACCCTATCTCTGCAAAAAAATTAAAAATTAGTTGGAAACAGTAGCACATGCCTGTAGTCCCAGCTACTCAGGTCGCTGAGGCAAGAGGATCCCCTGAGCCCAGGAGTTCAAGGCTGCAGTGAGCTACAATGTTGCCACTGCACTCCAGCTTAGGTGACAGAGCAAGATTCTGTCTCTTAAAAAATAAAAAAATAAGCCGGGCTCGATGGCTCAGCCTGTAATCCCGCACCTTTGGGAGGCTGAGGTGAGTGGACTGCCTGAGCCCGCGTGGACTGCCTGAGCTCGAGACCCGCCTGGGCAGCGAGACCTCATCTCTACAATAAATCAAAAAATCAGCCGGGCGTGGTAGCGTGTGCCTGTAGTTCCAGCTACTTGGAAGGCTGAGGCGGAAGGATCACCGGAGCCCAGCAGGTTGAGGCTGCAGTGGCCAGGAGCGGCTACTGCACTCCGGTCTGGGCGACAGAGTGAGACTCCAACTCAAAAATAAATAAATAAACAAATAAATAGCCGGGCTCGGTGGCTCAGCCTGTAATCCCAGCACTTTGGGAGGCCGAGGCGAGTGGATTGCCTGAGCCCACGGATTCAAGACCAGTCCGGGCAACTTGGCAAGACCACGTCTCTACAATTAAAAAAAAAAATTAGCCAGGCATGTTAGCATGCATCTGTAATTCCAGTTACTTGGAAGGCTGAGGCAGAAGGATCACTGGAGCCCGGTAGGTCGATGCTGGGGTGGCCTGGGCGATGGAGTGAGACTCCAACTCAAAAAAATAATAATAATAATAATAAAAATTAATAGAAATTTTAAAAATTGTATTTCTATATACTAGCAATGAACAATTAAAAAAAAACTCTACTTATGTTAGGACCAAAATGAATAAAATACTTAGGAATCAGTTTAATAAAAAAGATCAAGATTTTTACACTAAAAGCCAAAAGTATTGCTGAAAGAAATTAAAGAACTAAATAAGTGAAAAGGCACCC